GTGCAAATTAGGCTAGTGCACCCCGTGAATAACAAGCTCACAGAAAACAGTAACTATTAACTCTGTTGTATGTTGGCTTGGTGTTATGCTAACTTGCTCTTTCCGACATACTAATTGTTGTAATGTTATAAAATGTGGTTCTGAAATAATATTTCCAATTCTTGAGGAAGAGGGCAATTAAGAATCTCTCACTGTGTCATCTGAAGAGAAAAAATTCTCCTTGAGAAAACACGCCTGCTCCCTAGCTTCTGTCACCCATGGACAGCCATGACACACTCTTCAGGATGTAGTTTCGTACTCTACAGTGACTCCAGGGTTCTGCTAGGATTCACGATGGACAGAAGAGTAATGTGAGTAGAGAGTTACTGAACCCAGTGTGGCACGGTTTGTTATGATTTTGCATTTATTTCGTAGAACATGAAACTCAACAGAGCCACTTCCCAGCACTTTTTCAATGACAACCCAGTGAGCTTGGACCATCAATTGCCTTGTTCAAATGGAAGATGGATGAACGATTTTGCTTTTCAGACCCCAAAGCAATGCAGATTTGGCAAAGGGTAGGACTCGCCATTAAAACAAATCCATTTTTCAGGGGTGACACATTTAGTGTTTATTCCAATTTGTAAATGTCTTCTAGGTTGGAGGAAAATGTAAGGAAATTCCCTAGGAGATGTTTTGAAATTTAATTAAAATGCAGTTTGAAGACATATCCCTCGTGCTTTGCACTTGTAAATGTGAGCGTATCGGGAACTTCCACAGAGATGTGAAGGCCCTCCTCCTGATGTTGGGCAGCTGGGGCTGGGAACTGTGTACATTAATCTTCTGACAAAATCGCAGTGTGCCTCTTTTGCACAACCGGGCCCTGTGGGTAACTTCTGTGCAGTGTATTCATAGGAAGAAAACCTGATATTTTAAATTCTCCTCCCTTCCCCTGGGAGGTTGCTGTATACCTAACACAAACCCTTGCTTCTTACGTACAGGGCTGGAAAAGTTCCCGTTAAACCAGGGGCTGAAACACAAAGGGCACTCTGGTGAACCGTTTAGATAACTTGGAGCTGTTATTCTGCAAGCTTCTTGTTATTGGAGTAAGAGAATGGCCTGGCCCGGGAGTCTGAAGTACTCAACACCTCTGGCAGACTTTTTGCTTAACTCTGCTTTTCGGTTGATTCATCCAAAACTGAAAGAGTCTTTAAATTCTGTTCAAGTATTTAGTGAGCACCTGCTATATACTAATGCTGTGATCCAGTGTTGGGTGGTACATGTTCAATAAGACAAGGCTCCTGCCCTTGAGAGGTTCACAAAATAATTAGGGAAGTAACGTTGGTAACTTGGAAGGAAGAGTACTGTTCTTAAGGAGTTAACCCCAGGACACGTGATAATGTACTTTATTGAAGTAATACCTTTAGACTTTGGAAGCTTAGTTGCTGTCTGTGTTTAATACTGCCTCTGAAATGCTCAATAGAGTCCTTAGGAGTAACTTACCACATGGCAGCATTTTGCTAATTATATAATGGAATCTTTGATAAGAGTCTTGTTCTTAACACCTTCTGAGTTATTAAATAAAGGAAGTGCTTAGAATGTTTTTGACCCTTAATTTAAGGAAGGAATGATGGCTATGCTGGGGACATCCTGGGAACACTTAGAACTCTCAATAAAAGTATACCTTGTTATCCCTGGCGGGTGTGGCTCGGGGGATTGGGTGTCATCCCGATCACCGAAAGGTTGCTGGTTCGATTCCCAGTCAGGGTGCGTGCCAGGGTTGCAGGCTCCGTCCCTGACAGGGGGCGTGCAGGAGGCAGCCCTCAATGTTTCACTCTCATATGGGCGTTTCTCTCTCTCTCTCTCTCTCTCTCTCTCTCTCTCCCCCATTCCTCCTTCCCCTCTCTCTAAAAGAAATTGTAACAAAACAAAAATATACAGTGTTAAAAATAAAGTGCACTCTGTTTATGGAAGATAAACCCTCTGAGTTTCAACATATTGTTTCTGTCCACAGCTGGTTCTGTTTTTCCATGAACTTTGTGGCCAAAGGGAAAAAGAGCAGTTAAACTGTAAGATACTTTAGAATTAAACTTTAAATTCTCCTAAAGTTAATACCTTGTGACAATGTATTTCAGAATTTCTTACAAAACTCATTGACTATGTTATTTAAGCACCACAGACATCTACTTAACCATATTTCAGTATTTAATGAGCTCTCTAAGATAAAATCGAAGTAATACTTAACTTTGTTCTCTTGTTAGATTCATTATATAGTGTATTGGAAAGAGCTGTTTGATTTTATAAAGACTGATTCTCTTTGTCCTTGTATGGTAGACACAGAAAGCCTAATAGGTGCTTTGCTCAACTGGTACCCAGAACATCAAGATATACATTTATGCTTTCTGCCAAGGAAAGCGTCAGTTTCTCCATAACCTCTCTGATGCTGCCTCCATTCCAAACTAATGTTTGTAACATGGAAGGGAGGTACCAATATTGACTTTAAATATTTTCAGGACCAATGATGTCAACACTGACCTTGGTTCGTGTCTTCATGTAGCCCCAACTACATCAGCTGCATTATAAGCACAGTGCTTTAAATTGCACCTGTTTTACAATGATGGCTACGAAAATACAGGAGAAATGAATGGGGTTTTCGCATTTAAGTATCACTGCTTGTCCTTTGGAGTTGGACTCCATGGTATCCTAAAATATATATTAGGTGTCTAATGAAATACCCAACTTCTGTCCGAATAAAACCTGAGGAAGGTAATAGTAAGTTAGCAGATTCCATTTCATTTTCTTAATCGCAGAATGCTTAGTCCAACTTGCTTTTATGCTTCATAAACATTACTTAAGTAAAGGATGAGCCATAATCACTTAGACTGTAATTTGTTAGGAGTTTATTTACATTTAAACACTGATTATCTTAAATCATGTGTTTCAGTTTTTCTATCATAGAAAATGACAAGTTCATTAAAAAAAAGTCACATTTTTTCCCAAAGTTTTTTTGCTTCCTTCATCTTTTCACTCCATCTCCCATCCTGCGATTTTGCGCCTTAGCATTGCTGGAGGCCTAGGCTATGATTAAAGGCAGTCACTGCATTAATAATGCTCTGGTGAGGATTGCCGACTGTAAGTCCCATGTTCCCTCTTTCCCCTTTTCTTTCAGGAATGGGCCATTTGTGAGGAAAACCTTAGAAGATGGCTTGAACCTGATGCTGCCTTGCTTCAACATCCAAGTATTTACTTAGCTAGGGTTTTACAAAAAAATATTCTTCATGTGGACAACTTACAAGGATTTGGTGCAATCTTAAGATTTAGAGTTTCTGATGGGGTTTTGCAAAATGTGGTTATATCTGGTTTTTAAAGACACTCCAGCCTAGTTGCTTTACATGGGTTTGGTGTATTGGCCTTAAACTTCTGAATATTCCTTAGATGTAAAAACCATCTCCAAAAAATTCGTAAGTGAAGCTAAGCACAAATTCTCATATTTCTTACTAATGTAGGTTCAAAATTCTTACCCAAATATAGTAAGATGGGTCCTGTTTTAAGGCTATGAGACTCAAATAAAAATATGAGTAAGTTTGCCAGGCCGGTGTGGCTCAGTGATTGAGCATCAACCTAGGATCCAGGAGATCGCGGTTCGATTCCTGGTCAGGGCACATGCCCGGGTTGTGGCTCGATCCCCGGTGGGCGGCGTGCAGGAGGCAGCCGATCAATGACTCTCTCATCATTCATGTTTCCAACTCTCTCTCCCTCTCCCTTCCTCCTTCTGAAATCAATAAAGATATATTTAAATATATAAGTTCAATGTTAGAATGTTCCTTCCCTTAACATTATCCCTCTCACATCCGGCTCAGACTAATCTCTCTGTTATTTTTTCCTTTTTAAAATGTTCACAGATTTTTGTCCATGTCACAGTTTCTTGACTGCAGTGTTTAGTTATTTCATGGATATGAATGTGTCGACTGCGCGCTGGAATGAGGGTCTTGAGGGCCGGTACAGCATTTGGCTTCTTGTGCCTCCCCCAAACATCCTGCAAATATCTGCCAGGATACTGGGCATAGACACAATGCTTCCTGAATGTTCGATTGCCTGATCCCAAGGCTTTTTGTTGTGTTGTGTTGTGTTGTGTTTGTCTGATGTGTCGTAAGCGGTAGAGAGTTAAAGAAAAAAAAAAATTCTGTGCAAGGAAAGATGTTTGCGTTTTCATCTGAACGGAGAGGTAGGAACAAGTAGGATGACACTCAGAATGGAACGGGGGTTGCATGTCACGCTCGCCCCTGCGGTTTGCAACCGTGGGCCCTGGAGCTGTGGTGCCCCAGGAAAGCAGTCTTCACCCCGAAGGCTTTATGAGTTGTCACATTTCTCCCAAACGGGAGTCGCTCTCCTTTCTCTTGTAGGAAACATTAATAGGAAAAATGTCCAAGTGGCTCTTTTATGCTTGTTGTTGTTGCAAATAAGAGCAAGATCTCATAAATTAAACTTTACATTGGTTAAAATCACCCTTGTCCTTAAAGTTCCTGATCT